ATATTTGATAGGATATCAATATGTTGAGGATCAACTGATCTAATCTGGCTAGCGATTGCAGTATATGTTGAGCATGGCATTCCCACTCGTGATCTGGTGCGGATGCATGACCGAGCGCCTTCAGCTAGATGAGTCCAGTAAAACTAATGTGGTCAGCATCCAATGTCGAAAATTTACAGAGCTATTTATTTTGGATATTTATTTACCGCTACAGATCACTCCCCCTTAAAGGGGTAGTGATGACCCTAAGACGTGGTCAGTCAGAAGCTTAAACCCATCAAGCTTGTCGTTGGTGAACACTTCTGATAACTTGCTAGGTTTAGCAGCGTCTGGTCATCTTTCCTTACCATAAGGGACCATGAAGTCGGATGAGGTATTATAAGTGTACGATCAATGTCGTGTCATTGTACATAAGGAAAATCGACGTGGATATGATTTCCTTCTAGATGCTCAGCTTTGAGTCGATCGATGCTGATTCTATCGTTGGTTCCGTTCTTATCGATTATACAGTACTTAGGTTCGCTCTGAAGAACTTTGAAGGGTCCTTTGTATGCTGATTCGAAAGGTTGTCGATTCGAGTTTTGACGTAAGAAGTCGTGTGTACTATATCATAAGTTAGGTTGAACAAAAACATCAGTTGATTGCGGTCGAGTAGAACACGTTTGTAAGCCTGTTCGTGCAGGAGGTTAGATCCATGTTCATTGAAGAAGATGAAGGATCCACGAATTCCCCTGGAAGTTGAGACGCGGTGTACCCAATCTCAGTTTTCACTGCATTGAGAACACCTAGTAAGATGAGTGGAAGAGCGTCAGTCCACTGAGAAATGTTTGCGGCTGATAGTGAAGCTTTTAATTGTCGGTGAAATAGTTGAACTAACCCGTTTGCTTGTGGGTGGTAGGCCGTCGTTCAGAAGCGAGTGATTCCTAATATTGTGGTCAGACAACGGAAAAGTTCAGATTCGAACTGGCGTCCACGATCTGTAGTGATTGTTGTTGGGCAGCTGAAGTTTTCTACCCATCGTTTGACGAAGGCGCGGGTCACTGTTTCAGCAGTGAGGTCTTTGACGGGTACTGCTTCTGGTCATCGAGTAAAACGTTCTACGCAGGTTAAAAGATAAGAATATCCATTCGAGTCTGGTAAAGGTCCTACCAAATCCAGATGTACATGGTTGAAATGGGTGTCAGCAGTTCTTAAAGAGCCTAGGGGATAGTTGTTTTGTCTGATAACCTTAGATTTTTGGCAGCTTACACAGGAGCGTGCCCACTCCCTCACGTCTTCATTCATACCAGACCAGCGAAACCGTACTTCCATAAGCTTGATGGTTGCTCGAATACCTGCATGAGGAAGTTTGTGCAACGTATTGAAGACGTTGCGCAGATAATGTTTCGGCAGGATCCCTACCTGTAGATGTGTCACACAGTAATTTTTCTTTACCTGTTCCCATCTGGTTAATGCACGGTTTAAGAGTTGTTGACGATAACTCGTGCTGGAGATCAGTGTCTTCTTTTTGAAGCTGGGCGAGTTTCAGAATGTCGATTTCTTGGAAACTGTCCAAGGAAGTTATTCAAGACAAGGCGTCTGAGACTACATTATTCGCTCCAGAAATGTGTTGAATATCTGAAGTAAACTGCGAAATGTAGTCCAGTTTTCGGGATTCACGAAGTGAGTATTTGTCTGAAGAACAGTTTAAAGAGAAAGTAGGAGGTTTATTGTCAGTAAAAAGGGTGAATTCACGGCCTTTGATAGAGTGTTGAAAATTCCGTACAGCACAATACATAGCTAGGAGTTCCCTACCGAATGTGCTGAACCTCGATTCAGTGTCTGACAACCGTCTAGAGAAAAATGCCAAAGGTTGCCAGGAGTGGTCAACCCATTGTTACAGGACTCCCCCGATTGCTGAGTCGGATGCGTCTACTGCGATACCAATGGGTGCTTCAGTGTCCTGACGAGTAAGGATTGTTGCTTGAGCGGTCAGTGGTTTAACTGTTGAGAATGCTTTACGCGCGGTGTCATCCAGATTGATGGATTTCGTATTTCCAGGAAGTTGGTCGGTAGAAGGTTTCATAAATGACGCGCATTTTGGCAAGAGCCGTCTATAGAAATTTACAAGGCCGTTAAACGAGCGTAATTGCTTGATGGTGGTCGGTTCTGGTTAATCCAGAATGTCCGCCACTTTGGTTTTAAGGATTCGAATGCCTTACACATCTATAGTGTGTCCTAGGAAGTCTAAGGAGTCAGTTCCGATTTGGCCTTTCTGAATGTTTACAGTAATGCCATGTTTTTGTAGTCGGTCGAAAACAAGATACAGATGCTGGAGATGCGATTCTCTGTCAGGACTTGCTATTAGGCAGTCATTAACATACGCATGTACGAAGTTGAGACCTCGAAAAACGTCGTCTATGGACCTTTGGAAGTTTTATGCGGTGTTTCTTAGACCGAAGGGCATTCGCGAAAATTCGTAGAGTCCGGAGCGAGTTATGATTGCTGTTTTCGGAATATCGTCAGTAGCCATAGGAATTTGGATATACACTTTTACCAAGTCGATTTTCCAAGAGACAGTTGTACCTCTCAAGGTAGCTGTCAAATCGTGAATGTGAGACAACAGGTAACGATCGGGAATGGTTTTTGCTTTCAATTGCCGATAGTCACCAGTTGGACGCCAATCATTGCTGTCCTTTTTAAGGACCATGCGCAACGGAGATGCCCATGGGCTGTTTGACGGTCTTATGATACCAAAGTCTATCATATGGTTGAATTCGTTTTTCGCCAACCCTAAATTTTCGGGGGCCAGTCGGCGTGCTTTAGAGAATACAGGTGGTCCAGTAGTTGTGATGTGATGTGTAACGTTGCTGGTCACACACGGTAATTTCGATCGTGATTGATGTATCCCAGAATACTTATCGAGTAACGCTTGATAGAATGGGTCTATCGTGTGCTTTATTGTGACTGGAGATAATCTGCGACCGGAAAAAGAAGTTACATAAACAAATAAATTAGTATTTCTGTGTACTAGCCTTCGTTTGCACGTATCGATGATTAAATTGTGTTGCTGTAGGACGTCCATACCAATGATTGGTATAGAAACATTTACAGCAACAAAGGTCCAGTGAACGGGTTTGCGTAAACCCACGTTAAGATAAACGTACCTCTTGCCATACGTAGCGACGGGCTTTTCGTTTGGCGCCTGTAGATTTAAAACTGATTCATGAAGCCAGTCGTTGGAATTCACTGGAAGAACGCTAACTTCTGCGCCAGTATCGACGAGGTAGTGGACTCTCGTTATCACTTGTGTGACGTATAATAGACGGCTGTGTTCGCCGGCTTGGAAGTTTCTCGAATCGTTTTTCGTGTCGATATATTTTGGGTCGGGAAAATTGCAGGGTTTTCTGCAATTTCCGGAGGACTTTCCATACTGGTCATAATACCAGCACCAGTCAGGATTATCTGTCTCTCGTGGTCTGGAGACAGATCGCCCACGTGAAGTGTTTCTTCTCCGGGTGTGACCATTTACGGCCGTTACGAAATTTAAGATAACGTGTAAGTGCATGACATGGTGAAATATCAAGTACGAGAACGAACGAGTGAGAAATATTTGTATCCAAAAACACGGAAAATGTATCACAATGTATAAAAAATTAAAAAAAGGCGGAAATACATAAAATCCCAAAAAGGAACAGACTCACAGTTTGTAATTTGGTGTACCAGATCACGTCGGGCTCACCAATGAAAATGCCACAGGTATTTGGAATTCGACAACGCTTTAACCAGTAACACCTTTTAATATGGAGCGTACCCACCAAGTGAAATCTAAAGACAGAAGCGAGGAGGTTCGAAGATATATTTGATAAGCTATCGATCTAATCTGGCTAGCGATTGCAGTATATGTTGAGCATTGCATTCCCACTCGTGATCTGGTGCGGATGCATGACCGAGCGCCTTCAGCTAGATGAGTCCAGTAAAACTAATGTGGTCAGCATCCAATGTCGAAAATTTACAGAGCTATTTATTTTGGATATTTATTTACCGCTACACTATGGTTAGAAGCGGAGGAAGACGAGTGTGAGACTACGAGATCTTGAACTAGATGTTATAAAACGAGTTTCAACAACAAAGCTCTCAGAGGTGAAGAAGACACTAAACCACGAGCCCTAGGCTAGTTAATCTCTTCTTGATTAATGGAGTCAACATCATCTGGAAGCACTAACTTGCCCATCAGTTTAAGCGAGTTGGATGGGGATGGTGTAACCTCCTGACTTGCGTCAGTGTCACACTTCGTATATAGTACTTATCTGGGGTTATGCTTCCGCGACAACCAAGTGACTGGCTAAAACAAGTTCTCCCAACAGACAACAGAATACATTAGCATTAAGAGTTGACAGAAATACGGGGCAGAATCATCATGGCATGCGCCCGTCAATGATAAGCAATTGACCTATGCGCTTTGTTTTCTGTAGATTTCATAAAGGAAAGGTAAACTGTTCGATATTCAATAACGAGCCTTTAGAAGGATTCGACTAAAGCATAGTGATATTTCTCCGGGCTTATTATTAGGTAATTATGTGAGCGCTAGAGGCACTTGCAATTTCCGTCGCTAAAAGTTATGGAAAAGCTTACTTGGGAGTAGGGTATTAGAGAGAATGAAGTAAGGAACCCAAACAATAATATACATCTTAATCGAATTTATATCATTCTTCTGTACTACGAAGTTTGACTAAGTATCCTGTAGTCCTGTTCTCACTACTTTTATGATTGCTATTACTGACTTTAAGAAGCCCAACGCTTCACGCAAAAGTCTGCTAAACATTTCTCCCAACTACCATGAAGTGACTCGGAAGTTCTGAAAGCGAGTTTGGAATTAATTATAACTGGCCGATTTGACCGATAAAATTTCTTATTCATAAGTAGAAAGTTTTGTTTGTTGGATGTCACCGAAACCGAAACCTGCCCGTAAGCGCTCGTTGGCGGCGACAGCGTAACATTGCGTTCGTTTGTACATCCAAATGAATCCAGACTAGTATGTCTACATTACCCGCGAAATTCTTCCATTTTTTTGGCATATTTACTTAAATTTGTCATATTTTTTAGTGATTATCTACTTAAGCTACTACTGATAGGTGATTCGGGAGTGGGGAAATCATGTTTATTGCTAAGATTTGCTGTAAATTTTCTTTTGACCGTTGATTGTAAAATTGATTTAGGATGAAACATTTAACGAAACGTATATCAGTACTATCGGTGTTGACTTCGTAAGTACATATTAATCTGACACGGTTTTCAGAAAATACGCACTATTGATTTAAATGGCAAGGTTGTGAAACTCCAAATTTGGGATACCGCTGGTCAAGAGCGTTTCCGAACAATTACTTCTTCATACTACCGCGGTGCCCAAGGAATTATAATTGTGTACGACATAACTGATCAGGTGAGCGTTCCACTATTTTAGCTACTTTACTCGTTGATCATTACGGTTGTTGAAATGCTTGAGGCCTTGCGCCACCCGTTTTATATCACCACATTAGCTCCAAGGTTTTGTGTGATTAATTATGTTTAGTACAGTTAAGTGTATTACCAGTGATAATCCTGTCCAAGTTTCATGTTCAGCAAAGTGAGACCAAACATGTAGGACCGAGAGTTTCGTTTGTCACTTATTTTTTGCCCTTTATCAGCAGTATAACCAATATGCGTAACCCTCAATGTCTTCATAACAACCACATTATGTCTTTTGGTACCCACTATTTACCAGGTTTTTCAACAGTAAAGTCACGGGAAATTCAGAGCAATCACTTTTGATGTATAGTCTCACAAAGTCTGTTGGTCGACAGCACTGTAAAGCTTAGTTTAACTTATTGGAATAAGATATCGGCTTGTCAGGGTTTTAGGTGCATCATTGATCTGTAGATGTGAAGTTTATTAGATAAGGCACTAGTTTAAATCCCACTCCATGTGCCATTATCCAATCAAACAGGAAGCTCCATGCGCCTCAGCTACAACGTAGGACCAGGCACATATATGCATCAGTCCAAGTTGCCATACCGCATTAGCACAACAAGATGAACACCGGATTCATAGAAGTAGTTAATTCAGTGGTGGTAATATATAGAAGAAAGATTGTGTATAAGATAGTACAGGAAGAAAGAATTAGTTCGTAGAAAGATTTGAAGTGATTTTAATCTCTTAGTTTGAAGGAAGACAGAGAGTGTATACACCTACGCCATTGTGATCGTTTCTGAACCATATCTCCAAGAGTCTCCAACCATTGGTTACGATAGTCACGCGGACCCCAACCAGGTTTTATTTATTTATCTATTTTAACACATTGGTACAAGGAGGCACCGAATACATATGCGCCACACAAATCTCAATTGATTTGTGTGAGGGCTGTGATACTGCCCGGAGGCCAAACCAAAGCAGGTGGTTTACTTAGGAGGCCACACCCGGAGCCTTCGACCTAAACGTCAGACCCACAAGGCAGTGGAGCATCGTAAGGAGATGCAGTCCCATGGTAGCCGGTGACCAACGATTGATTCATACGCCATTTGTTCCTTCAGGATACTGGAGCCTATGTGCACCATTGGTTTGGGATCCGGTTAAAGCGCCGGAAAGTCTCTTTTCGTCCTCATTTTCGTAAACAACACCCCCGCCATGAAAAGGCAGTGAGTAGGACTTCCCTGACAAAGGCAATATACGCGTGGCCGTGTGAGAGCATTTTGAGAAGGAGAGCGGACTCTCCCCAATCTCGGCCGTACCAAGTAGTCTGTATCTACCAACATGCCTGGGGGAAGAATTAGTTGGTAGAAAAAAAGGTATAAAGCAATTTTAGTCGCACAGTTTAAGGGACGACGAAAGGTGTATACACTTACTACATTGTGATCGATTCTGAGCTGTGTCTCTCAGTCTTTAACTATTTGTTACGATAGTCGTGTGGACCACAACCAAGTAGTTTGCATCTACCAACATGGCCCAGACCAGAAGTTAGTGACTTCAAGGACTGATGCCACGTTTTGGTTTAGCCGCCTTTAACTTTCTCCCAATTATCCCTAACACCGGTTAGCATTGCGCGTCGTGATAATCGGTGTTCAGGCATACACAACATGTGGCCCAACCATCTCAGTCGATGAAGATTCATAACCTCATCAAATGATTTACCATCATTCCCTAATACCGTGCGCCTAACCTCACCATTATATACCCGATGGTCCCAGCAGATGTGAGCAATATTTCTAAGGCATCTGTGGTCAAATACTAGCAACTTACGAGTATCTTCTACTCTTAAAGACCATGTTTCACAGCCGTATAGTAGAACGGAACGAACTGCCGCGCAGTATACTCGTCCCTTAGTTGATAGACGGATATCTCGCCTGCGCCATAGGTGACGTAAGTTGGCAAAAGCCGAATGAGCTTTCTGAATCCGTGTTGAGATCTCGTCAGACGCCAACCCATTAGGGCTGATCAGACTTCCGAGATAAGTGAAGTTGTCAACGCGTTCAACTACTTCACTCCCTATCCTTAATTCAGGTGTTGATGCAGAGCAAAGTATCCTCTCATTATTCGGGCGTACCTAGACGATAATGTCAGTCTATTCAAGACATTTTGTTTCGTAGCCGTTAAGTGTCGCTTTATAACGGGGCAAAAAACCAAATCTGGGCTTCGTCTTGATTCACCAGTCAGTAATCGATGTACAAAATGGAGAATACTTGTTTATAAAATCGGATTATGTTTATTTTTGCGTACATAATTTCGTACATTAGTTATTTTGTTAGTTAAAAAAGGGGGGCTTACATCGTTAACTCGGTTTTATAGGTAGATATTACTCGGACACGTCATTCTCTTTTATCGACTGATAGACATCAATTCAATCAGCTATAATCAACAGAGCCTAAGATGTTAACCTCTGTTATTACTTTTTGTTCATAAAACTTGTTTATGGAATCCTAATTAATAACTGTCGTGGTTGAAGAGAATAAGTATTTCATTTGTTCGTTGATTGATAAGAGTTTGGCGACAGTAAGATATGCTCATTGACTTTGCTAATTTCTACTACCTGACGTAGGTGAAAAATCATCAGATTATCATGGAAGGAGTCATTTTTCTGAATGAGGCATATCAGTAAATTATTAATTCTTTGGCGAAGTACTGCAAATCCCCACTAACAGTCGGTTATGTGCCGTTAGATTAAAAAGTTCCATCAAAGTGAAAAGAAATCGGCGTGAGAAACGATGTCTTTTCGTCATCTCAGCCTATGCCCCGACAGATTGCAGTCCGGATGCAATAAAGGATGTATTTTACCACCAGTTATCTGTTCTCCTCCAGAAAGTGCGTTCGACAGATATTGTAGTACTAGCCGGAGACTTGAATGCTCAAGTGAGGCGTCTGGGCACAGAAGAGAATCGTTCAGGTGACCAATGGGGACAGGACAGATAACGGGGAATGTCTACTGCAGCTGTGCACAGACCACAACCTGTTTCTGGCTAGCACTAACTTTCGGCACAGTCATCGCCAATATGCCACCTGGTGTCCCCCCTCTGCATCTCAAGCCTGGACTCAGAATGATCACATCGCGATCAGCTACCGCTGGCGTGGTTGTGTACAAAACTGCCGCTCCTTTTGTAGTACCTATCTGAACTCTGATCATGCCCTGGTCTGCGCCAATCTCACCTTAATTTGCAGTGGCCGACGAAGTGACCGCCACCAAAGGATTGATGTTAGCAAGCTGGCTGCAACTTCTGTTGCTAGTAAGTACCGAACCGAGCTAGCTTCTAGGCTAGCTAGCATTCCACCGAAAAGTATAGATGAGCATTGGTTGCAATTGCATGACACCATGAAAATGGCGGGTAAAGTCAGTTGTGGGTTCGCGAAACGTCCCGCTTATAAGCACTGGGTTTCTTCTGGTTCCTTACAACTCATTGAAACCCGTCGGTCTACTCCGGGTGACCGTGAGTTTGACCACAGACGAAGGATGTTACGTACTGAAATTGGGCAAAGCTTGTGTGAGGACCGAGAAACCTGGTGGTCGGAACGTGCTAGTGAGTTGGAAGCAGCAGCTGCACCTGGTAATTACCGGAAGCTTTTCCAACTCATCCGAGCCACTGGCAGCAAGAAGTCTGATGTGAGCGAAACAATCTGCGAGGATGACGGAACGCCAATCACTAACATCCATCGACGTCTTGGACGATGGGCTGAATTTTTCGAAGGGCAGTTCAACTGGCCTGCTGCTCTGGCAACATCGGTCAGACTGTCCTGCCCTCCATGGCCGGTGACGACTGATCCACCAAATGAGGCGGAAGTCCGCAAGGAACTCCAACTCTTGAAACGTTACAAATCACCGGGCCCAGATGACTTACCTATGGCTCTTTTTAAAGATGGTGGTGACTTTCTGACTAAGGGACTGACGACGTTGTTTACAAAGATCTGGGAACTAGAGAGTGTACCAACGTCATGCAATGAGTTGATAATTGTCCCTATCTTTAAAAAGGGTTCACGTCGTTCCTGTAACAACTATCGGGGGATAAGTCTACTTCCGATTGCGTCCAAGCTATTGGCTTCCTTTATACTTCGTAGGTTGTTCAGAACCCGAGAAGGATTGACTCGCGAGGAACAGGCTGGGTTTCGTTCTGGACGAGGATGTATTGATCATATCTTCACCCTCCGCCAAATGTTAGAACACCGTCTTACTTATCAAAGGCCAACAATCGTAGTGTTTCTTGACATCAGGGCTGCCTTCGATTCGTTGGATAGGACTGTTCTCTGGGATTGTCTATTGAAGAAGGGTGTGCCTGAGAAGTTTATTAACATCCTAAAAGCCCTATACACAAACACCTCAGGCAGAGTGAGGGCATACAATCACCTTTCTCCACTATTCCATTCGAGCAGTGGGGTTAGGCAGGGTTTCCCAATCTGACCATTCCTCTTCAACTTTGCCATCGATGACATTCTGGAAACAGCTCTGATGGATGTAAGTAATGGTGGTGTGGATCTGTTGCCTGGAGAAAGACTTCTCGACCTTGAGTATGCGGATGATATTGTCTTACTGTGCGAGAATGCCCAAGCTATGCAATCCGCACTTAATCAGTTGGCAATCAGTGTCCGTAGGTATGGTATGTGCTTTGCACCTTCGAAGTGCAAAGTTCTTCTACAAGACTGGCAGGATTCTAATCATGTACTCACTCTGGATGGTGAGCAGATAGAAGTAGTGGAGAAGTTCGTGTATCTAGGTAGCTGCATAAGTGCTGGTGGTGGTGTGAGTGATGAGATCAATGCACGTATAGTGAAAGCCAGAGCGGCTTATGCCAATCTGGGCCATCTTTGGCGCCTTCGTGATGTTAGTCTGGCTGTAAAAGGTCGGATCTACAACGCGACGGTGAGAGCAGTTTTGCTCTATGCTTGTGAAATCTGGCCTCTCCGAGTTGAGGATGTTAGACGACTCTCTGTGTTCGATCATGGCTGTCTCCGAAGGATTGCTGACATCCAGTGGCAACACCATGTTAGTAATGCAGAGGTTCGGCATCGTGTGTTCGGTCACAGAGATGATAATGCAATCGGTGTCACCATCTTGAAACACCGACTTCAGTGGCTTGGACATGTTATACGAATGTCGTCCCAGAGAATTCCACGTCGTGCATTATTTGCCGACTCTGGGACGGGTTGGAAAAAGCGGAGAGGTGGTCAGTGTATGACATGGGCTGGCTTGTGTTGGTCCTTCACGACTCCCCGGCTGGGGTCTGAGAGATGGTGTAACATAGTGGCTAGAGACGTTATCAGAAATGGCTCAGAATAGAAGTCAGTGGCGATCCTGCTGTAACCTTCTTTTACTTTCTTCATAAAAAGTGGTTGCTTCCTCCTTAACTGAAAGATTTCTTGTGATTGTACCTTTTCGTTTCTCCCATTATGACTACTATTACACTACCTTACACTAATCTGGTCGTTATTGTTCTCTCTCTTTTTTATAACTCCCTTCGCTCCTTACCTTTTTTATCTCTTCTTAAATTCTCATTGTTTTGTGTAGCACATATATATTTGGTGCCTCCTTGCACCAATATTTATGTGTTCAAATAAATAAATAAATAATTCTCTGTCTATTAGTCTTGAGAAATATCTATTGAATCGTCTTGTCTCTTTAACGAAAAATGAGAATACACATATGTAATAGGTGGAGACGGGATTAACGGGTACGAAAATATATTTAAAGCAACTATATTGTCACCATTGTGATCGCGATAAAACAATATCAACACTATTTTAAATATAAAGCCTTAAAAGCATCTGTTTTTTTTCTGTGATTGTTTATCGAGCCCATTAATTTACCTATCAGGTACATTAATTAGTCACTAGTTAAAAAGTACATTGACTAGTTTGGTTCAAGTGATTGGATAGTTTTGTTTTTGACTTTTTTATCCATCTTACTTACTGCACTCCATATTTTTTGTTTCCTTTGTAGTCAACATTTGCAAACGTCCAAAGTTGGCTCCACGAAATCAGTTGCTATGCTAACTCTACAGTCAGCCGTCTTTTAGTGGGTAACAAGTGTGATTTGGCGAATCGACGTGCTGTTGAGACGTCCGTTGCGAAGGTTTGTAAAACCACACAGTTAGCAACATTGATAAGACATAAGATATACTAACTACTGTCAGTATATTCTTAGACTGTGGCCACTTTTTGTGTGTGCTAACAGTAGTTGTTAAAATTGACTTCTATGTTAATAGCCTATGCATATCTTAGGTCTATGCACAATATTGATTACAATGATATGTCAACTTGATCTTTTCACAATTTTTCCCACATCTGTATAAATAGAGCTATTACTCAAGCATTCGACTTTCAACTAGTAAGCTGCAGATTAAGTTCCTCTTCATATTATTTTGGATTAAACTGCTTCAGTGCAGCACAAAGCTGATCATTCAATTATATTCATGATTACCGACTGTAAAAAATCTGCTATCGCTGTAAAAATTCAGTATGTTAGTCTTAAATCTTTATGTAGTTACGATCTTTCTAATGGATACGTATTTTTACTGATGATAATGTCTCTTATGCTTGGTTTTATCTTCCCTTGGATCCTAGGTTTATTAATTATCTTTTAAATTTTTATTTCGCAAATCCATACTTTTAGAATCTCTACTACTACCACTTGTGCTGTTATTACTTGTTCTACTTCAGCATTTTACTGTGTTGTTGTGGTGTGGCAACTTAAACTGTGGCAGTTTCTATGTTTCTTATAATTGACTAAATGAACTTGATGGGTGATTGAAACAAATTTTTATATGAATGCATTCATAAGCAACTACTGATTTATTTTTCATCTCATTGGTAATCAATAATTTAGGTTTAGTATTCAACTGGATAGCATATTTAGTACTCAGCTTCCGATCATCGGATCACAGGTTTATACTCCACCCAATTCTTTCCAGATATCCAAGTAGCATTCACTCAAAAAGTGTACTCTGCATCCGAAACAAAATTTCAGGATGTGCTCGATTACGGGGTTGATCATAATTTTGCCATTGACTTCCTATCGTACATCAAGTTAGTATATGAACAGTACAGGACTCACTTAAGACAAACTTCAGTTTGACCAATCTCCGTAAACCCCCGTCTTAAAAATCGAATTGTATCCTTGTTATTTATGTGTTTTGTCTTCAACTTTTTTCAACCAATTTTCCAACTAATAGAAAGTGAGTGTTCTTTTAGTAGTTCATATAGTCTTGATATTTTATTACCAGTATTTAGGGGTTTGGATCCACATATTTTGTTCCTACTTTGAATTAAACAATCAGGTACCACAAATAAAACCACACATTGAACACACCTCAACCCACCCAGTATAGAGATCTCTACATGCTAGCTGAGTGATGTTTGTTATACCTTTCACTGTTAGTAACCACCTCGAAATTATTTTGTGACTAGATTGCAGGTTTAGAGTTCATGTTTTTTAATGTAAATCGATAATGTAATTTACCTTTAGTTATTTGAACTCTATTTTCATACTATTGTTCATGGCATGCTGTGGTTTTTAATTTCCCAGGAGTTTGCTGATAAAAATCAAATGTCTTTCATAGAAACCAGTGCTAAGGATGCTACTAATGTTGAAAACGCCTTCTTAAAAATGGCTGAGAAGATTCAAGAAAATGCAACACCAGTACAAAATATGTTGTCTTCTACTGTGCCAGTTAATAGTACACAACCTGTCAAAAAAAGTGGGGGTTGCTGTTAAATATTTCTTGGTAATCTTGAATATATCCATCCTCAACTTTATTATGGTTTATTTCTATGTGATTGTGCGCTTATCAAAACAACTATTCATCTCATTCTCCTTCCTTCATTACTAAACTTGTGATATTATTTTGTGTCTGAAATTCTCGGAACAGGACATCACAGGATTGTATTTGTATTCAGGTGTTTTATTGATCAGTACATTTACTATTCTGTTCCAGTTGAGTTTTGCTGGTGTATTTTAGTTTCATTTTGAAATAAATTACCATCGTTTCCTTATCATGAGGTTCGATTTATTACCACCAATACAGTACTGCACTAATATTTTTTTGAAAACTTATACATTCTAAAAGCTCTCGTTTTCGTTGAAAACAAAAATGATCTATGTACCATATCTATTCGTTCGATTTTCCAGTGGCATTAATAAAATTAATCTTATTTATTTAAGGGATTTTATTAACTGTATGCGATAAATCTTTTCATTCCTTTTTATGTGATGTTTTATCATGTCAATCAAAGTCGTTTTATTATTTAGATGTATGCATTTGGTCACCTGTTTAGGACTAAAAATAAAAACCAGATTGGTTGGTAATAAGTGTATCTCAGCTCTGCTCCACCTTGGTGCACTAAGTAAAAATTATGGTTCTAAAACGCACCTTATCTAAGAAAATTGTTGAGATTTAAAGTAATTAAATAAATGTCCAACCTCTGTTACTCTTCATGAGCGATGGTCAATTAATTTTACTCTAATTCCTCAATAGTTTCATGTTAAGTGTAAAGGTAAGCATCCAGTGACAAGGTTTGATATCAAATCCGTAGGAAGCTGAGTGATATACTGACAGCGAGTTCAGTAACGTAGAAGGATAGTGGCATGGTCTATTCCTGCTAAAAATTCTGATTATCTAACAATTTTACTATTTGCAACAGTCAGTCAGATAAATTAGTACTTCTCACGATTGCTCATCTACCCAAGTTAACGTGGAAAACAAAATTGTGATGATAATATCAGTGGTAACCAGAAACTCGACAGGGAATCGGCTTCAAATGGAAGTAATGAAATCGGTCGGCGAAACCATATTCAGACTCAAAGCTAAGAGGAAGATGAAAGATTAATTTATTTGTACTGTTTACGCCCATTTTAATCCATAAAATTTGTTCCCAACCGGAAATTGTGGTAGTCATACGAACTCTATCAGAAATACCAAACAGCTTTACAATATTCAGTTAATTGGTTACTGACTTCACAGGCTCACTACGCATCGGTCTGGTTGCCCATAACCTTTCCACAGCTTGCTCATATGCTAATAGTTGAGCGTTCGTAATATATCCCGACCGTCTCACTCAGTGTTAAGGGTGTTCTACTTCTAGCCTCCAAGTCTCAAGTTCGAACCCTGCTCTACTTCGGCTATGGGGGGTCAGGTGGTTAGCTTCCACACTTGGAGTGTGGCTCATATCTATGTACCTAGTGAACAAGTTAGTTCGGTCTCCTGGTGCATATCTTGCTCCAAACCTGAGCTTCGCCTACTTAATACTTTCGTCAAGATATTTTTAGTTTGTTGGTAATAACTTATCTAAATTCCACATCCATAAATTCATATACCTGAATGCTAATGAATATACTCACCCTTCGATAAACAGGAAGACATCGCTCAGGTGATACGAAATATCAATAGCCGAGTGAGATCTTTGCTGAGTTCTCGTTAGCCATCGACCAACTATCTATTGAGACTTCGAAGAGAAGATGAGTGGTTAGCATGCTCAACAATCTTACTTCTGTTAGACGGGATTTCCGGAGACCAATTCTAAAGCGTTTGGGACATTCTTGTGTGGTTGCTCCAGGAGTTATAGGGGTTTACCACATTGCCAGCACCAATCAGAACCATTTTATGTATATAAGAGATTACAAACATTGGGCTCTGGTTTTAATCAGTTGATTACTTGGTCATTTCCTGTGAATACATTCCAGGTCACAACTTGAAAGTCAGCAAATAAATTCGGAATGTTACTTTGACAAAGGTGCTTAACGTTGGTTGGTTTGTACCTTTCTCATGAGAGTCGAACACCTAAATGATATAGCTGGATAAACATTGAATTGTGGAATCAAAAAGCGTCTAAAGAGGGGGATTGTAGGTGTTCGTCCAGACAGTCTTCAAGTTCCTCTCGACGACCTTTTGAAATAGCTATTTTTGGCGAATACTTGCTAAGTATCTTCTATTTCGTTTGGGGTTGTTTCATTAGCGTAAATTTATTTGGCTGTCGAAGACGTTGAATAGATTAAGTTCGTCCTTATACTCAGTGGCAAATTGCGTATGATACTCTCATAAAATTGGTTTCGTATAGGTAGCTTTCTACATCAAGTTATCTAAACAGATTGTTTTCGACTAAAGTAATGATTACGAGTTCGTTTCTGATCCTGGTTTGAATCACTACTTCATCCTTGTACAATGTCATCGAATTCTTGATATTCGATGCACATCATGACACGAGTCAAATGATTTTTTTACTTTATTGGCTTGTCTTTGTCTTGATTTAGACGGATGTGTGACTGATTGGTTCATACTTTTTGTTATCTTCACTCTGAAAACGTGTGGGTAATTAATGTTTGTATATTTACGCTACTGTATAGTGTTATGACGAAATATTTTTTTGTCAATTCGTTTCTAAAAAGTATCTCAAAACTAGATAATTCTAATGATAAATTACAAACAATGCGTACGTTGATATGTGTTTATTAACTAAGGTTAATCATAAAACAGTTCAGTAGTATGTTTTACATGTATGAGAAAAACAATTGATCAATGTGCAGTGATTAGTATCTTGATTCAGTTTTAACGATAAAGTAGTTTACAAAATAACTTTATGAAAAAATTCAGAAAGAACCCAGATTATTTGTTCATGGTAATAGAAATAGTTTCTGTGATGCTGCAAGCATATTTACGCAGTTTGATATTGTGAACATTATTATTTTGAAAGTTGTATGTATAAAAACATCAGCTGGTAGAAGTAGTTTGTGCATTATTTCTTTTTGTTCCAGTCTCATAAATGTTAAAAAGAGAAAATCAGTGCATGTTACGGTGATACTGCAAGGCATATGAAAATTGGCAACAGTTTTATTCTATTTTGTTTGACAAAAATTCACATGCTTTGGACGATCCACTTTACCCTCAACCAGGCCATTTTTCGGATTATTAAATTGGATAGATAACTGTAGAATCTTAAGAGAATTTATCGAAAAGAATGTTCTTCGTTCAAATGTTAGTCCTTTAATATGATGGGAATCTTTAAACGATAATTTTATTTCAAAAAGTTTATGTAGATGTTTGTTCAATCGTAAATATTTCAATAAAAGCGAGGTTTATCGAATGAAATGAAATAATTTTACACGGATCGGTTACAGAACAGTGACCAGTGATATTGCGTTTTGTAATACTATGTGTCGATTGGATTCAAGTTGCAACGTGGCCACTAGCCTAAGTAATACAATGTGGCTGTACACTTTGCTTTATGTTACATGGTTGAGAGGAATAAACTAGGAATTGTGCTTACATAACATCCCAAGGTTAAACGGTAGGTGATAAATTAAATAGTAGACTGTGGTTTTGGGTAATGGGGGCAACCTTATTATCTGATTTTAGAGATCGGTGCAGATCAAACTAATCTACCACTACTGTAAACCGGATTAGTTGGGTACCGAATTCGGGGCTCACTAAAAATCTTGTCGGTTGACAGATGTGTGTGTTTATGTATGTGAATTGTATGAGTCTTGACTTGTATGGTTTATGTATGTAGGTACACGCAAAGATTACGCTCATGGATTAGCACAAGGAATGTAAGCTGAGAAATATCTGTCATATGTCAAATAAAATCAATGGCCTGATCCTTCATGTCGAAGATATGGTAACAAGTATTACGGATAGGTGACTATCAACTTCCACTGAAAGAATGCTCACACTTATGTGTATGTTGTGGAGTGGATGTGTGTGTGTGGGTGATGGAATTCATTGTACTAGTGATATGCATGTGATGCATAGGTGACAGTCAGTTGTAGCAAATACATTTTGAAGGGAGCGGTAATCATCTACACTCTCAGGTTGGCAAATATACCTATATGTATGCCTAAGGATGCATGTGTGGAAACGTATTTGTTGTCGGTATGCATGTGGACCATACTTGCTCGTGGTGCAACGCCTGCTCCCCAGGATTTGGGTGCAATGATTTCCTTACACAATCACATTCCCATGATGGGTTTGTGAACGTTGAGAAAGGGAAGACATCTGGAGAAGCGCTAGTGGGGTTCACTGGATAAGGTTTGACCAGCATTAACACGGCCTAAACACCGTACCGTACTTCAATCACAAATTCGATCAAATGTTTTATGAGAGAACATAGTGTGTGTGTGTGTGTGAAGTATTATGAATTCAATAAGAAATGATAAGTTGGGAAGATTAATAGTGATATTGAGCCAATGGTAATAACATAAATATATGTAATTAATTATAAAGAAGACAATAATGTTTGACTGGTCAGGTTCATGGGATAAAATTTGATCAACATTAACACGGAGAGAACACCGTACAAGATTCGGTATTGAAGGTTTCAGCTTGTGTATCCTTGTATAGGTCAAAAGGATAAATGTATTCATGTCAATGATTTGTAAACCTAATTATTCGGCATTATCAATTACAGCTTCTTAGTTATTGCTAAGTTGTTTCATTCACTTATTCCATTAAATAGGCGCTTAGGAAGTGTGTGTTTTTGAATCAGTCGTTGTCGACCGTAACGGAAACCCTGGATCCTAGGTTTCGTCCTGGGTAATGTTCGTCAGCAAGAAGTATATTAAATTTTCAAAGAAATAAACTGGAATAAAATCTGAATTTAGGGTTTTTTGCCAATTATCTTCAATTACCCCATATGAATTCATTTTATTTCACAACTTAGTGTTTTTTTTAAAATGGTATGAGATGATGGGTAACACTATACGGTTAATGTTTGTTAAAAAGG